GATAAAAGTAAAAGGTGAAGATGTTCAGAGAAAAGTAGGAGAAAATGTATTTTACAAACCAGGAAAGGAATACAAAATTTCAAGCAGGAGACATAATTAAACGTTTTAAAAATAGAAGTTACCATCTTCTAAATACAGTGTTTTGTAAATCAAGCGGGAGTCAATCATTTGGACATTTCTATGTCTGCATTTTTAAGTTCTGTATTACTGTAAAAAAGTTATCTTTAAAAAAAAATTTTTAAAATTACATATTCAGAAAAAAAGGCCTTCCTTTAGTATAGTAAAATTCTAATGACTGGAGAAGAAATATCATTTGTAATTTGTCCTCTTTCAGTTACAGGACAAAATAACGGTTGTTTGCAGATGCAGCGGAAAAATCTGCCTAAATAGTGAACAAGTTAGTACTTTCCTACTTGCATCTAGAGAGACACACCACAGCTAGGCAAGAAATCTTCAATTCTGAAATTGAATGCTTTTTGCTTAGATTTCTTATTCCACTTCTTTCTCCTCCAAATTTGTGTTCGCTGAATGGTGTTAAATACCTCTTGCATGAACACAAGTAGCTGGTCCTCAATTAAATAGAAAAAAAGACTCTACTAGTGAAAAATGAATAGTTTAGATGAAGATCTATTCTGCAACATGATTATACTGGTCTGAATAAAAAGTTTAGACTAAAGACTTAAATCTGCTTTTTGCATTGAGTGCCTAATCAAATTGAATTTGATGTATATATACGGAAATAATGTCTCTGTCTCTAATCATACCATGGAGATTTGTTCACTAAATTGACATGGTTGTCTCCTCTATTCCCTGGTAAATACCAAAAGTGGGGGATTAGAGTGTGGGGAAAGCTTCAGATTTCAAGTGCAGCTTATGCTGTAGCAGCCTGGACACCTGCACCATCCTGTTCTCTGCCTTGTGATCTCATTTCTTTTCAGCCATGTATTCCCCTTCTTGTTCAGGAATAAGAGTTACAAATCAATGAGTTCAGTATTTGTGGTCACTAAGCAAAACAGGGAATGTTTTGATTTTCAAAATGTTTTTCTGTAGTTTATGAAGCCAGAAAAAGCTTGTATACATGAAATATGCAAAACATAAAACTATAAGGAATATAAAACCTGATAGGTTAAATACACTGAAATCCTTATCCAGTTTCCCCTGTTTTTTAGTTTGGAGACATGATACAATAAAAACTGAGACCAATTTTAAAAATAATACATGTGTATGGCAGGCAGCATATTTTTTTTGTAGAAATGATAATTTTGTAACTTACTTACTTTGTTTTTTTTTTTATTAAAGGGGTAAAATAACTAGAACAACTTGCATAATTCTTTTTGATTCCTATCCTCAGACTAGCACATAAACTTAGTGTAACAAAATGGTAATATATCGCTATCTGGATTTTAAAACGAAATGTCATTTCTCACTCTTAAGATTCTTCATGATTTGAAAAATGAACACTTTAAAGAATATTCTAATACACATTTGATGCATTTGATAGTCTTTGAACTTGATGCTACACTTAAAGTTGCACTTGCAAAATTATTTACAAAACTATAATTTTCCTTCTATCCAGCCTGATTAAAGTAATAGATAAGGTAATTTCTTTGTAGCAGCCAAATCTGGGACTTTGTTTGTTGGTAGCAATTAGAAGCTTTTCTCTGCAGATGTTTCTTCTAATAGCTTTTCCTTGACCTGAACTACTCTTTTGGAGACCCTGAACAAGTCTACATCTGTTTTCAATTTCTAAACAAAAGCCATCAGCTATAGAAATCAAGAAGTCCTGAGACAGAGACACTTCTCTTCCAGATGATCTTAGCCTTTCTGTATGTGATCACTGCAGCTCTACATCACACCAGTTCCTCTCTTAACAACACACTGATGCCAAGGCACCTGTTAGCTTCTCTTTATTTTGTGTTTCAGAGTCTTACTTAGGTTTCAGACATTCCTGTGCTGCTTGAACAGAAATAGAGATAAACTGTTACATACAGAGAATGTAATCTTTGTTTTCTCACACACAGATAGAGCTAAATGTTCAGCTGGTAAACTTGTATGTATAGGTTCACTGGCTGCCTTGTGTTAGATAATGTATACTGGCTGTGAATCTAGGACTTTTTAAAGTGACTTATATAAGAGGCTGTAGAAATGAAAGGAATACATTTGTAAAAGAAGAAGGGAAAAAAAATCTACAAAATTATTCTACTCTGTTGGCCTGGTATTTTTCTATTCATTTAAGAATAATTCCACTATACTCAATCGCAGTTTATTGCTTTTCAACAGATGCAACTTCATTCACTGCCATTGAGTAACTTCTAAGTTCAGCTGGGAAAAATCAACTCTGTTTACTCCTCATGTGAGAAGCAAAAAGCTCAGAGATCCCTATGCACTACATAAATGAGGCTTACAAGTGGGTGGGCTGCTTTGTCTATAATTATATTTTGCTTACTGGTCAGTGAGAATGTGAATAAAGAGAAGACCTGGAAGTGATTTGGAGAACGATCTATATCTTTGCTTAATTTTTGCATAATTGCATGGAAACTATATCTTGTAGAATAAAAAAATCATAGAAATCATAGGTTTGGTTGGAAGGGACCTTAAAGATCATCTAGTTCCAACCCCCCTGCCATAGGTAGGGACACCTCCCACTAGACCAGGTTGCTCAAAGCCCCATCCAACCTGGCCTTGAACACTTCCAGGGATGAGGCATCCAGAGCTTCTCTGGGCAACCTGTTCCCATGCCTCATCACCCTCACTGGGAAGAATTTATTCCTAATATCTAATCTAAATCTTCCATCTTCCAGTTTAAAGGCATTGCCCCTTGCCCTGTCACTACATGCCCTTGTAAAAAGTCACTCCCCAGCTTTCTTATAGGCCCCCTTTAGGTACTGGAAGGCTGCTCTAAGGTCTCCCCAAAGCCTTCTCTTCTCCAGCCTGTCTTCACAGGAGAGGTGCTCCAGCCCTCTGATCATGTAGAAATTGTAAAAGAGAAAATACCACAAGAGCCTCCTCATGAATGCACGTGATACAAATGGAGTAGAGATCTGCGCCGGTATTCCCCTGACCTGGAGTGTTTGCATGAGGGAGTGTGTGACCATGCTCCCTGAGTGCTGAAGCAGGGTTTGCCCTGGGAGCCCTTGGCAATGCCTGAGAGCTCAGCACATCCCCGTGACAAAGCAACTTGCCCCTGGTTCCAAGCTGGGTTGATTCCATGTTTGTACTAGAAACTGAGACAGAGGTTTTAGACTTCACAATGGAACAAAGAAGTCTGTTTTAAAGTGAAGACAATTTTAAGACCTCATCAAAACCCATAAATACACTCTGTTCAATTTTGCTAAAATGATGTGTAAACCCACTTCTTTTCCTGTAAGAAAGGATTTTTCTGTCATTTATAGCTTGCTTTTAAGCCCTCCTTTTGGCTATCACAACTTTCCATAATATACTACAAGGAGAGTGATTTATATGGCCAACACTGAAGAATATTGTCTTTTAAAATTGGTGTTTACATTCTTTTGTCTTAAATGATTTCATAAATATTTTTGCAGAGAGACACACACACAAAAAATACTGAGTATGGTATGTTTTTTTGTTGCTGATATTCTTCCACTGCTAAAGAAAGAAGAAAATTTTTCCCTCTACTGTCACTGCTTTAGTATAAGGAAATGTTTTATTACTCATTGAGATATACTGTCATGTGACATTTTAAAAGCACATCAGTAAAGGTTATTGAATTATATATAAGATCCTCAATGAAATTAGATAACCTATGTAAATCAGTTTGTCATAATGTTTGTATTTTCCAATGAAAGATAAAGGAAATAAAAATCCATAGGAAAGCAAAAGTACTTGGCATCCAGAGCAATTTATTAGTTGGAAAAGAAATAAATTATCCACATAATGCCTGTCAGCAAAAATTCCTCTCTTTGATTCCAGCAATTCAAAGCCAAAAGGCAAAGTTGAAGACATAGATTAAGGTTGCATTTACTGGAGTCTAAAATTAATTTTAATGCAACAGTCTAGATATTTCATTAGTCTGCCTGATTATAATTTATTTCTGGACATTACCACTTGCTAAATGTTCCAATCACTTTGGGCAAACCTTATGAAGTTGTCCTCTCTTTCACAATCCAACTGAGATAGACCTCATTGCTTGGCTAAAGAAAGCTGCTTTGGATGCCAGCTAATTCACAATGCTACTTCATTTGTCTCAAGGAGTGCCAGAGAGAAGTGCTTGCAGAGGCTGATTTTTAAGAACCCCTGAGCAGTCTCAGCAACCCTGGAGACCCATGAGCACTTAAGTCTTCTAAAAGGCAAGCCCAAGAGACTAAGAATTGTATCTGTACCTCCACACAATGTTTAACCATGTCAGGGCAGTAAAGCGCTCTTTCACAAAGTGGCTTATATTGCGTGTGTGTGTAGCTTCAGCCATTGCAAGCTTTCTGTCTTATTTGCCTTTATGCACCCCTATGGCATTTAAGTGCACCCTGTTCAGTTTCTCTATTTCTACAGCATTAAAAAGATTTTCTAAGAATGGAATATTCAGCACAGCTTTATATTCAGAACATTACAGTAGTTCTTACTCTTCTTTCTCAAGAATGTATAATTGAGATTTTATATCTGTATCAAACAAAGAAAGAAAGCACAAATTTGACATCCAGCAATCTAAAATTTATTTTCTCTGATGCAAGTCTCCACATCTGATGCAAGTCTCCACATCACCTATTTTCTCCAGATTCAACAATACCAGCAATTATATTTTCATCTGTTGAGGTTTTCAGTAATTTAAAGAATCTGACTAAAGATGGGTATTCGCTAATTTTTGCACCTTTTAATATATTGCTTACTATTTAGGGTACAACCTATTCTTATTATTTCCACAAAGTAAACAATTTTTTCTTAACAGCAGTGTCAGTATTTTGAGAACAGACATTAAGTCCCCTCTTTATACTTCAAGAGCTTTACTTGCATACTAGAAGAGCTACAAATCACAAGGAGAGCCTTACCATAATGAGGAATTATTGCCCAAGCCATTGCAGAAGCATAGATGCCACCGATCATCCAAAACATACAGAGCCAGCTCAGGTGTTCGCCTCGTTTCTCCCGAGCAAGCACTTCCGAAAAATAAGAGAAGACTGTCGGCACAGCTCCACCGATCCTAAAAGGAGATAAGGATCGTGGATTCAGTGAAAGAGTAACAGCTAAAGTTTGAACAAGCCCATAGCTGCAGTCATTGAAAACCCAAACTGCAAGCAGCTTTTCTGGCAAGAGTGTTTTTTCTCAAATTGCACCACGTATTGGAGAACTCTTGAGGAAACTTTCACCAGTTTAGACACAATTTCTGTCAAATATTTTCCTGAAAACTCTATGTAGAATTTGTTGCATTCAGTGTTTTAAGGGGATTTTCAATGTGCCAGCTGCTGGAATAGAAACCAGTACAAAGCATTGACTTTCACCATTAGAAAAATCCTGAAATCATGGCAGTCTACTGACAAGTGTCAAAATACATTGTTTTTAACTGAAAATATTAGTCATTCCCCCCACC